TCCCCTCCTCCTCCACACAGACAAACACACACAATGATGAGAACTTTTGAAATAAAACCCAATAACGCCCACCAAGTCCTTTCCCACACAGGCTCACAAATCTATTTTTGTATTCCAGTGAGATTTGCAGCAAAGAATAGAGTTCCAGTAAAGAGGAAATAATTTCTGTGCTGTAACTGAGTTTTTCTCACTTCCTTCTTTTAAAATAATCACCCAACAAGTCCAAAGTTTCAGAACAACAATACAGTCGTTTAGGCCCCGGATATATATCCCTGCAGACATTTTGGATCTAAACTGCATCCGTGAAAAGTCCTAGGTAAGTTGCTTAGAAAACTTATAATAATATATTCCGGCACTGGGCCTGGAAGCAGCCTTCTAAATCATCTGGTCCAACCCATCATTTCGCAGGTGAAGATCTTGAGAAATAAATTGGCTGCTCCAACACACTGAAGTATCTAATTAAAACATCTGCTCAATTTTAAGGTAGCTGATACATTTGGAAAAAGAGGGGGTGGGAAACAAAACCTCTAAAACATTTTTAGTGAAATAGTAATTATGAACAACAGGCCTATTAAATGAAGAAGCTGTAAGGATAGTGATGAAAATACATCTCCACTCCAATAGCAGGACTACTTACTTACATCTGGGAAACTAGGAGATGAAAATCTGCCAGAGCTAGCTCATGGACTCTGTGAGTAGGGGCATAGGAAGAGAATTTAAGAGCTCTCCACTGAAATCTGTTGGCTAAAGCACCAACACTGGCCTACTTTTATTCTGACATTGATGGGCACCGGGAGTCGCCATGATGGGATGATGCCTCCATTTCCAGAAAAGTGAGAAAATGGTCCTTGCATAACAGAGGTGCATGACCACTGACCTGGTCATGGGAGGGTGGCTTAGAACTTTGCTCGATGGGGACCCCTGACCAGCGGCATGAGCATCACCTGGCTGCTTTGTCAGAAATGCAGGATCTTGGGCCCCACCCAGACCTACAGAGTCAGAATATGCACAGTTCAAGATCCCAGGGGGGAGAGGTAAGGGCCGAGCGGGGGGGGGGGGGGGGGGGGGGGGAGGAGCTATGGGTGGGAGGGGGGGAGAAACAATTGTAATAATCTGAGCAATATTTACTAAAAAAAAAAAAAAAAAAAAAAAAAAAAAAGATCCCAGGGCCTCCTGAGAAAGACTTATTTACATAACACAGCAGTAAGAAAAAGTATCATTGATGACCTGGAACTGCATTGAACCTAAGTTTCTGGAATAACTATCTCCTTTACCAGCTCTATTCCCTAAAGCTTTTTAAAAGGATATTTATTTTTTATTGATTTCAGAGAGGGAGAGAGAGATAGAAACATCAATGATCAGAGAATTATTGATTGACTGCCTCCTGCATGCCCACACTGGGGATAGAATCATGACCTCATGGTTCATATGTTGATGCTCAACCACTGAGACATGCCAGTTGGGCTAACGCTATTGATCTTGAAGCCTTATTTTAAATTTTAAATGGTCTAAAATTTATCCTACATGTTAAATGGTCTCAGTGAATATCTTATTAAGTAGTCATGTTTTTTTTCACAAAATATCTCAAAATTAAGAAACGATGTAAATATAGATATTCTGGAAGTTTCACCATCTCCAAAGGCCAACCACTCCATCTCTGCATGCTCAAATTGATACTAAGCTTTCCTGAAATTTGTCTCCCCGTAGCTTTCAATAACCCTACAATCAGTAACCCCATGATTATTGGCCCTACCAGTAGTTTATCCCCATTATCAAGTTTTCATTATATTTCCCACTGGGATTTTTTTTTTTTAAGTGCACAAGGTCAAAGAAACAAGTTTCAGGTATTTATTTCTCATAGGCCTGGGGCAGCTTATTGTAGTGGGATAGATGAAATTTTTATTTTTTGCTTTTATTTTAGAATATCTTAGGAAAACCTCACGGGTACAAGAGGAGTATAAAAATAAACTATCACAATTTATAGAGATTATAACCAAGGATATAATTGTGCCAGACTTTCAGTGTCTGGGATAATACTATCCTTAATCATTCTTTTAGCCTGAAGCTTTTGGGAAATCAAAGCAGGTGTGAAATAGGGCAAGGTGATGCTTCAAAAATGTTTGAGACTCTCGGGCCTAGGAGAGTTGTAGACTATAAGCCATGGAAAATGTCTTAGGTCAAGTCTAATTCCGTCTCTTACAGAGAAGGAAAGTGAAACCCTAAGAAGCTGAGTGACTTGCCCAGTATTAGCCATCTCGCTAGCAGCAGAGCCAGGCAATGGAGTGCCTCTATCGCAGTTCAAAGGTCTTCTTGCTACACTGCCAGACTCCTAAGTTTGTTAAGAAAGCTTGTCTGGCCCAGCCAGGTGTGGCTCAGTGGTTGAGCATTGACCTATGAACCTGGAGGTCACGGTTCGACTCCTGCTCAGGGCACATGCCCAGATTGCAGGCCCAGTGGGAGGGCCTGCAGGAGGCAGCCAATCAATGTTCATTTCTCATCATTGATGTTTCTATCTCTCTCCCGTCCTCTCTGAAATCAATTTTTTAAATTTTTTTTTTTTAAAGAAAGCTTGTCTAGCATAAAAATCAGAGCTATTACGCATAACTGGGCTGACCCAGGGCAATGGCTATGGAGACCCCAAAAGCAAATCCAAGCCATCCTGTTACCTACAGAGACCTCAGTCCCCCAAATTCACAAATCTAATACCAAGTTACACTGAAGCCATGAGACATCTTTCCTTCTCTGTTGCCTAGAATCCCACTTGTTCCGATATATCCATTGATACTGAGCTGCAGAGATTTTCTGCTAAGCAGCTTATTTTCCTCTCCCATTAAAATCGACTTTCTGATAAAAGTTTCTTTGCTCTCCCGCTGGGAAACACTTCATCCTTTCTGAAACACTTGAAACTGAACACTCAGACTGAGCCAGAGTAGTAAGTAAAAAGTAAAATACAGGCAATCAATTTATCTGGGCATCTAAACATTGGATGCATCCAAATAATATTTTAGTATATATGCTGCCCAAGTGAGCGATCCAAACAATATTTTATAAATCCAAATTTTTAAAAATAACACCACTGTAAGGATTTAAAAAAAAAAAAAAAAAAGCAGTTAGAACATAGAGCATGAGGTGCCGATATAGTGTATTTCATCCATAGAGCCCTGATAGATGGGTTGGTGGGTCCCAGTGGCCAACCCATCTAAAATAAAAATGAACCATTGCAGTGACATAAGCTAATCCTCAGAAATAACCAGTTGGATCTCACTTCTTTGTAAATTTAGGCAGATCACAACTCTCAGATCAATGAAGTGTAACCAAGCAAGAATGAATCGTGTGCTTTCTCTATCAAGGTGTCCTCCTGAAATAAAAATAAGCAAACCCAGGAAAAATTGCTAATCCAGATCCCAAGCATCTCAGGTGAGATCTTTAGGCTAACACTAGTCATTTCTGTGACAAAATGAGCTGGGTCCCACTGTGTTCCATGACCTGCTTGTATTTATTGATTTAAAGCAACCTATTCCTGATACAAAAGCATCTAGGGAGTTATACAGTATTAACTTTTTAAAATTTAAATACAAAGAGGGAGGTATAAGGAGAGAGAGAAAAAATATCAGTGATGAGAGAGAATCATTGATTGACTGCCTCCTGCATGCTCCACACTGGGAATCGAGCCTGCAACCTGGGCTTGTGCCCTGACCAGGAATAGAACCATGACCATCTGCTTCATAGATCGACATTCAACCACTGAGCCACCCCAGCCAGGCTTCAGTATTAACTTTTTACAGTCAACAAAAATTTGTGAATTCTTAATTTGGTTCACTAAATGAGATAGGGGAGGGTGAGTTAAATTAATGCCCAAGTCCCATCCGGGATAACTGAACATAGTTACATCACTCCATAAGTTTCTTTGATAGCATCAGGTTCACAAGATCTTCTGAGAACAGAAGCCTGAGAACACAGCCTGCTCATAGCCCTCGGTGAGGCAAGAATGGAAAACAAAATGAGGAAGAAAGGCTGTGACATGTATTCATCCAAAAGTGTATCTTCCGTTACCGCTCATCAGAGTGTGTTACACTTCCTGGGCCCCTCAAACCAGGGCAGAGAGGATCGGAATTTTCCCATTTTACAAGAAGAAACAGGGCAAAAAACACAGAAGCTAGGCTGGCGGGAAACGGAGGATTGTTGCCCTATAAATATGTTATCCAAAAGTGGTTCCTTTTCAACAAAAATTCTACAGTCATGTGATGGCAAAATGGAAATGGCTGGCAAGCAGGAAGGTTGGCAGTCTTGTTCCTCACACTCTCACCAAACTAGGTCTCATCCTCCCACCCCACGGCCCTCTTCTAGGCTGGAACCTGTGTCCTGCATCTTCCAAGACACAGGACATTCCAACAGGCTTTGGTCCTAGCACAGAATCCCGGGGAAAGCTTCACCTTCCTCGCCTTCGGTCCCAGTGACCGATCCTATCATTACCCATCCCAGGGACAGGCTGCTCTACCCCAATAAGCACAACGGGGGTTCTTAGCAGAGTGAGGCCCAGGGTCACTCTGTAATGTAAACGGCTGTCGATGTGACAGTGTCTTCTGAAATGCCTAGGGCCTGCGTTACTGTGTGTTTTATTAAATCCTCACCCACTGGTATGTTTTATTGATTTTAGAGAGAGGAAAGGATAGAGAGAGGGACAGAGGGAGAGAGGGAAAGAGAGAGAGAGGAAGAAAGAGAGGGAGAGAGAGAAGAAAGAGAAAGAGAAAGAGAGGGAGAGAGAGAGAGAGAGAAAGAAAGAGAGAGAGAGAGAGAGAGAGAGAGAGAGAGAGAGAGAGAGAGAGAGAGAGAGAGAGAGAGAGAGAGAAAAGCATGGGTGTGAGGGAGAAACATCAATCACTGTCTCTGTACACACCCCGACCAGGAACTGAACGTGCAATCTTTTTTGTGTCCTGAACAATACCCCAACTGACTGAGCGCCCCACCCCATCTGTACCTCAGAGGAGAGAGATCCTTACCTTCAGAAATGGCTCTCTTCACAGCTGCCAAATACGTCTCGGGCTCGTCGTCACAGGTGAGCTCCTGCCAGTGTGCCCACTCGGGAAAGAAGTCCAGGAACTCCTTGCAGTTCTGCACGCCGCAGAGCAGCCGGACCATGCGCTGCGGCGGGTGGAAGGCTCTCTGCAGCAGCGGCAGCAGGGCCCGCTGGCCGAAGTGCTGCGCCAGCTCCGCCGACAGCAGCACCACGATGCAGCGCGTGCTGAGGAAGAAGGTCAGGTCCTCGGCGGAGAAGAAAGTGTCGGGGCCCAGCCGGTAAGTCAGCGTCTTCTGGCCCCGGATCTGCCGGCTGGACAGGAAGAGGTCCTGGAGGTACTGGCACCATTCCTCGGCATCCGGGCTGTAGACCAGGAGAATGTCACACCTTCCGAACACCCCTGAGCGAGAACAAGGCACTTAGGTTATTACGCCTGCGTCCCAGGACCTGCAAGATACACCATCCAGATGGAGAGCCGAGCACCCAGAGTTTTCCCCTGTTTATCGCCAGTGGACCTGTTTGGCTTCTTTTCCTACGTACAGTTGGTGTCACAACTATTCCAGACTCTGTTTTTGCCCAAACATACAATGCCACGTCAGATGCTTGCATTAGCTATTGCTTCTGCTGGCATACTCTTCCCCCCATGGCCGGTACAGTACAGGATCGAGTTAAGAAGGGCTTTGGGGGCCCTGGCCAGGGTGGCTCAGTTGGTTGAAGCATCATTTCATGCACCAAAAGGGCACATACCTAGGTTGTGGGTTCAGTCCTCAGTTGGGGCGCATCTGAGAGGCAACCACTTGATGTTTCTTTCATCTCTCTCTCTCTCTCTCTCTCTCTCTCTCTCTCTCTCTCCCTTCTTCACTCTAAAATCAGTTAAAAAAAAATGTCCCTAGGTGAGGATTTAACTGTGTGTGGGGGGGAGGGTGTTTTTGGGGGGATCACTTGGTCCAAATACCTTTCACAGGTAAAAAAAAAAAAAAAAAACTTCAGCTGTGAAGATGAAGGGAATTACTTACATTCACACTCAGTAATCAGTCACAGAGCCAAGACTAGATGGGTTAGGGGAATAAGATCTCAGAAAGGCTGTGGTCCCGTACATTAGTGATGAAGAAGCCATTGGCAATGTCCCAAGGGGTTGACAAGTGATGGCAAGGAAGTGAGGAAGAGGAAAGAAGAGACTTCCTAGAGTGTAAGAAGCTCCCTTAAGAAGACAGCGGTGGGCCTAGAGCATCATCTCAATGCGCCGAGGTTGAAGGCTCGGTCCTCCATCAGGCACATACAAGAAGCAACCAATGGAGGCATAAGGAAGTGGAACAACAAATCCATATTTCTCTCTCAATTCCAATTAAAAAAAAAAAAAAGAAAAAGAAGGGAGTATGGCTCGTGAGCACTAATTGATGAGCAGGAAACCAGTGACTACGGTGCCCTGACCCCGTGGCCCTGAGCCATTCATGCTACGTTTATGAGGAGACAGGGACCCAAACGCAAAACAGCAGGTTTAAGATGGACAAGTTCTAGGTCTCTGAGGAAATAAGTACTCACTTCACCCTGGATCCCACCTCACCACTCCCTGCCTCTCTGTTAACAGACATCACCAAACCTGTAGTTCATTAAAGACCTCTTGTCATCAAGGAAAGTTTAAATGTTAATAATAGCCAAAACCAGTTTGGCTCAGTGGATAGAGCATCAGCCTGCGGACTGAAAGGTCCCAGGTTTGATTCTGGTCAAGGGCATGTACCTTGGTTGCAGGCACATCCCCAATAGGGGGTGTGCAGGAGGCGCTGATCAATGTTTCTCTCTCATCGATGTTTCTCTCTATCTCTCTCCATTCATCTCTATAAAAAATAAATAAAATATCTTTTTAAATAAATAAATAAATAAATAAATAAATAAATGTTAATAACAGCAGGAACTGAGTGTGGGGTATCCAGAAACTCTCTACTATCTTCACAGTTTTTCTATAAAATCTAAAACATCTAAACATCTAAAATAAAAATTTAAATATACAGTTGAAATAAAAGACCCTTGTGGGATTAGCCTCTTCTAATGAAACAAGGTTTTTAGTATCTTCACACAAATATACATATTTAAAATGTCCCATTCCAGGCAGTCTGGTGTTAAATTTGACCCCCTTCCCCTCCTCCTCACACTCCCTCCCCCTTGAGCAAAAGTGCTTGAGAAGGAAGTGGCCACTGCCTCAGACCAGTTAATATCACAACCTATTTGGTCACCACCAACTTGTAGCGTGACTTCTGACCAACAGACTAAATCTAAGCAAATTTTGCCTCGATGAAAATGAGGACAACGGACTCAATCGCTGTCCTGGATTTTGCTCTGCTGCTGAAATTGAAAGCTGGGGAAGTTGTAAAAAAAAAAAAAAAAAAAAAAAAAAAAAAAAGTCCAGAGTGAAAGTTAAAAGTCCCTCCATAACATGCTGAGCAATAACCAAGGTCTAAATGCCTTGTAAGCAACTCTGTCTCCCATAGGGGGGCCCCCTATCTTCAAGAATAATTCCCTTCCTTTAACCATAAGTCACTTCTTCAAATATGCTACATCAATTCCCTCCCTCTCTCTCTCTCTCTGGTTATTAAAAGAAATACTTGAACCAACAAGGGGTCATAAATGCTAGACTGGAAAAGGTCTCTGTCGAGCTTGAGGAACAGGTTTGGCTATAGAAGGAGCTAGGAAGGCAAGCAGAAGAGCAGGGGCTGGCTGGTAGCAATAGGGAGTGGGGGTGGTGGTAAGAAACCCAGTGAATGAGAGGTTCCTTTAAAAGATTCAGAATCCACCTGAGAAGAGAACAAAGAGGAAGTGCTTCTCACACTACCCAGCCCAGACCATTTCTTTAATCTGTAGGTGACTCTGGCACATGATGCATCTGACCTGGAGCCCCATGTTTGAATCTGCATTGAAAAGGGAGGTGACAGAGGGAAGATGACCGGGATAGGGAGAGATCGGGACATTGTTCAGGTGAGGAATTTTCAGACTTTGAAGATTTCAAGTTTGAAACTTGTTAGGAGTTAGGGACCTCAAGGATCAGATGGAAAAATTAAAGGTTCCTTCAAGCCCTGTTTTCCTATAAGTACAAGGATGGCAGAAGGATCTGGAGAGAAGATAAGCAGGAAGAGATAGGAGAGCTTTCTTCAAAGGTCTGAAGAGGACGCACGGAGAAAACAATTCTAGTCTTTATCAACCACACCTGGCCACTAGGGAAAGTGATGTGTGGCCTCCTTCTCCTCTCTCTCATGTGCAAATACAAGAGATGCCATCAGATGCCAAGGACTGGGACCCAAGATCTTCCTTGATTTCAACAAGCAAATATGCCTTTCAAAAACAAAAGACTAATGATACCCATAGGTAGAAGGAAATTTAAGGAAACCACATGAGTCAGCCATGAAAAGGAATGTGGTACTGACGGTGCCTGTTAAACCTGGATGAACCTAGAAGTTATTATGCTACCTGAAAGAAGCCAGTCACCACATTACATGATCCCAATTATATGAAAGTCCTGAGTAGGGAAATCTATGGAGACAGAGAGTAGAACTTGGGAATGGGGAGAAGGAGGGAAGCAGGGGGTGAGTGATAGCTAAAACAGAAGACGTTTCTTTTTGAGGTGATGAAAATGTTCTGAAATGGACTGTGGTGATATGTGGGGCATATGTGTGATGATACTAAAAAAAACCACTGAATTGTACTCGTTAAATGAGTGGATTGTATTGTGTGTGAATTATATCTCAATAAAGCTGCTTAACATGAGAAGGAAAAGGAAGGGGAGAAAGGAGGAGCAGGAGAAGGTGGAGGAGGAAGAGGAGAAGGGGGAGAGGAGGAAGACAACATGGAAGAGTGGCCTGGATGACAGCATCTTGGCAAGAGATACTCTCACCACTGTGAGCTGCCACCGTGGGTCACTGTATCTCCAGACCTCAGGGGGCCCCAAGGGTACCAGAGACCCAACTCCTATTTGCAGCACCTCGCCACAGAGGATGCTGACGCTTCCGACCATCATAGAGATCTACGGAAGCCACTACTGAACCCGTAAACCCCAGGGTTGGCCACTGGCTTTGAGTTCCCGTCAGAATGGGAGCACGCCCTCCAGCCCTCTAGCCCCTTCGCCACACTCACGTGAAGGATGCCCACAGGGAGGACACTAAGGGCGGCTTCTTCAGCCTCCTCTGCCCCTCCCCCATGCCTGCCCTTTGTTTCCTAGGCCCACCAGCCCAGGGCCTGTTCCCAGCCATAGAAGGATATGGGCACCGCCAGGACCGGTTTGGCTCAGTGGGTAGAACGTCGGCCTGCGAACTGAAGGGTCCCAGGTTCAATTCTGGTCAAGGGCATGTACTTTGGTTGTGGGCTCATTCCCGATGGGAGGTGTGCAGGAGGCAGCTGATAGATGTTTCTCTCTCATTGATGTTTCTAACTCTCTATCCTTCTCCCTTCCTCTCTGTAAAAAATCAATAAAATATATTTTAAAAAGAAGAAGAAGAAGAAGAAGAAGAAGAAGAAGAAGAAGAAGAAGGAGGAGGAGGAGGAGGAGGAGGAGGAGGAGGAGGAGGAGGAGGAGGAGGAGGAGGAGATGGGCACCTCACTCACCTCATCTCCTGCTTCTATTCTGGCAAACTGCTCCTTCCATATACACCCATTTACTGTTCTTCTACCTGGAGCACTCTCCCCCCAATGCCCACCCCTCACACACACACACCCCACACTCACACCCAGGTCTTTGCTCAAATGTTTATGAAGACTAACCTAGCTGCCTCATTTAAAATGATAACTCCAACCCTCCTTACCCCTGTCGATTGTTTTCCCATGCACTTCTCCTATCATGTATTTTCCTTATTAAGTGTCTTGTCTGCCTTCCCCCACAAGCTGCATGGGGACATCGCTTCTGTCTGTTTCGCCTACTGAATATGCACTTGATACCTAGAACAGTGCCTAGGAATAGCAGGCATGCAGTCAGTATGTGTTGTATGAATGAATTCCCTCCAGATAACTCTGCTTTAGCTTTCAAACGGAGTGTGTGGACTATGAACCTTCTGTTAGCAAGGGTTCCTTGTTCACAATGCAGCTTCTTAACTTTCAGAGCCTGCCTAGCGAGGCAGGAGGCGGTCAGCTACCTTCCCTCCCGCCCTTACATAGGAAGCCCGTCTCACCAAAGCCAAGAGAACTGTCACCACTGGCCTTTCCTACCCGGCTTCCGAACACCCCCCTGAAGGCTAGATCTCAGGGGGTCTAGCATCTGCCCACATCCTCCAAGAGCAGCGCCTCCTCCTGGCCAGCCCGATTTTATCTTTCAAGAGGCTTTTACATCCCGTGTTCACCCCTTATCTCTACAAAGACATCATTCGATGAGCTAGGAAAACACTAGTAAACACAGTTGCAAACACGGTACCTGTCATACTCTCATCTAGCAATTCTTTGTTTGTTTACGCTTTCCTCCACAAGACTATGACCTCAGGAGCAGAGACCGGGCGTGTCCTGGGCCCCATGTGAGAACATAGGTAGGTGCATATTATCCTTCCACGTGCATTGTGAGTGGTCATCAGCGGTCTCTACTCTCATCATGATCACAAGTTTCATCCTAAACCGCGGTGAGTGCGTGGCTGGCCGAGTGTACACACCCCATCAACCAAGAGGACCCCAGCACCTTTGGATGGATAGATACCCAGTGGTCCCCTTTCTTCAAACTCCTGCAAAGGACATAGGAAAAGTAAAGCTAAAGGAATGGTGTCTCTAGGTTCCCATCGAAATTCCAGACGAAAAGCAAAGCGAGCTGGTGGCCCCCTGGGCCGCCTGAGATCTCCGGGTGCGGACCCGGGGCTGCCTGGGCGCCCCCTATCGGCCGAGGAGCGCTTCGCCGGCGCTCTGCCTTCTTTCAGCTCCGACTCTGACTCTGGGTTCGCAGCAGAGTTGGACGAACAGGGGAAACGACCCTCCGAGGGCCCGAGAGCTGGTGCCGAGGGAGAGAAGCAGGCTTAGCCGATGGGGACAGGACAGTGGAGGGTCCGGCAAGGGCTGCAAAGACTCGCGCAACCCGCTGGGAAGGGGGACCGGGGACGGGAGAAGACAGTCGGGGTGGGCGGCTGGCGACAGGGAACAGGGGACAAGAACAGAAAGCACATAGGTCCTGCCCCACAGAGGGCCTTCCCCCTTCCCCGCCCCCCCCCCGTGCTCGGAGGGCTGCGGGGGTCCAGGGAGTGCGAGGAGAAGGAGGAGGAGGAGGAGGAGGAGGAGGAGGAGGAGAGAGGGGCACCCCATGCCCAGCCTACGCACCTGAGGCTGCCATGCCGCCGGCACCGCTCTGAGCCCGGCTGGCGGGGCGGGGGCCGGGTCGGGCCGGGGTCCCTGGACGCGGGCGGGCCGGACGGGGTGCCGGGGGGTCGGGGGGCCAGGGTGCCGGGGTGCCGGCTGCTCTGCACCGGCCGCGGCTCTGCCGCTTCCTCCCTCCGGGCGGGCAGCCCCGGCTCCCCGAGGGCGTGTCCCCAGGGCCCGCCCCGGCGCCTGCGGGGCCGGTCGGCACCTGCACCCCCGCGGGCGGTTGCCGAGGGGAAGTGAGAGTCCGGGTCCCGGCCGCCAGCCGGCCCCCCATCACTCGGGGAGGGAAGAGGCCGGGGGCTTCCTACCACGTGCACCCACTCCCCTTGACATCAGCCCGATCTTGTCTCTAAGATCAGCAGCCGGAGATGGAGGGGTGCTGAGGGCGGAGGGGGAGGGAGAGGGGGAGCTCCCTGCAGGGCCCCGGTGACCTCTAGCGGGGTGGGGAGCAGGTGGGGGGTGAGGGGCGCAGCTGGCTTGGTCCCTGAGCCGCTCGCTGCCCCGGCAGGAAAGGGGAGGGGGCAGGAAGGGGAAGAGGCACCTTCCCTGGCACCTGGCCCGGGCGCTTGGCGTTGCCCTTGGTTACCCTCCAGTGACCTTTCTTTCGGTAACTCCTTGGACCTGGTCTCCCGTCTGCGGCACAAGAGCATTAATAATCATGTCATGTGAGGCGTGATGATACAATGATCTTATTGTCTTTAATGCACCCATCATTGTCTTCATGGCAGAGCTGAAGGAATCAGCCAAAAACTGCATCTTGCTCAGACTCCGACAAGGGAGAAAGTGCCCCGAGTTCCCTGAGGGCCTGAGTCCGGAGGCAGAGCTCTCCCTGAAGCCCCGGTCCTCCTTTCGCCTGTCCCTGTCATCCATCTGCCTCTTGGATCTTCAATGCAGGGTCCAGAGGATGGGTCCAGAGACGGAGGATGGGTCCGGAGATGAGAGAACGATAGGGTTAGGCCAGTGGAGAAATAAACGGAATGGATTTCAGAATGGGGATGCCAAGGCTGAAGCCCATCATTTGTTTGCTGCCGCCATAACAATTGGCCACCAACCTCGTGACCTCAGAGATTATACATGTGCCATCACACTGCTCCACAGCACAGAAGTCCAACAGGAGTGGCACCGGGCTGAAACCCAGGGTGGGCAGGTTGGAGTCCTCACAGGAGGCTCCGGGGGAGAATCCACTTCCTGGTCTTTTTCAGCTTCTAGAGATGACAGGCACTGGCTCATGGCCACCTTCACTTCTAAGCCAGCAATGGAACCCCTCTCTGACTGCTTCCCCGGACATCACATCTCCCTCTGACTCTCTCCTCTGCCTCCCTCTGCCCCTGCTGAGGATTCTAATGATTCCATGGATCCTACCCAGAGAGTCCAGGAAAATCTCCCTATCCTAAGGTCAGCTGACTTAGCAACTTTAATAATGTCTATAGTCTTAATCCTCTTTTCCTATGTAGCATACCATATCCACAGGGTCTAGGGGGTAGGACATAGACATCTCCTGGGTGGGGGGAGAGCGTCACTCTGCCTTCCACAGGCCTGGAATTCCAAAAGATGAGATGAGCTTGCTATCTGCTATACCTTACACCTACTCCTTATGTTCAGGACTTCTCTGCCCTCAAGACACATACACACACACACACACACACACACACACACAATATCATGAACTATCACAGACCTGTACTGTTCTTTAGTAAAAATTACATAGATATGCTTGTGCAATTACTTACTTAAATGTGTGTCTCTTCCATTCAACCCTAAGCCCGTCAGAGGCAGGATCCAAGACCGCCTTTTTCTCTATGGAACTTCCAGCACTTGGAGCCAAACCTGACACAGAGAATATCCTCAGAAAGTATTTGAATGCATGAATGAATATGACCAGGAAATCCTTAAACTTGAGACAGAAGGATAGAATGGACTTTTCAGGCACTGAAAATCTTGAAACCTTAGCCTTGGAGGAGGGGAATATAAGATGTCGAAATAAAAGCCATTAGAGTAAGGAAAATGGAGAGCTAAAGTTTGGAAATGTTGAGTTTGAGGTGCCCATGTGATATCCTGGGGGCTATGTCAGGATCAGAGATCTGAACAGAAAGATTCTTACCTCGGTCCTTAAATTCTCTCCAGGCCGACTTTGGGCTGCTGAGCAAGCTGTAAACTGCAAAAACCCTCTGTTTCCTCATGTGTACCGAGGTCATTCCAGTTCAGAAATAACAGGGCCCTACCTTGTACACTACCCTATTTGGAGAACCTTGCTTCAACACTGGTCTTCTAGATTCTATCCTCTCCTGCACCCTCCCTCACTCTCTTCTCAAGCCTGAGGACCTGGCTGGTCAATACTCCTTGTCAGAGTCTTTTCTACTGAAGGCATATTCATCTATTTGAGGTCATCTCCTCTGACCACACATACCCTACCCCCCTATCCATATGCATAGTCTTCCTTTCAGCTCTACATGTTAGGGAGTGATTTTTCTGCTTCCTAACCAAGAGAATCTTTGGGACAAAAGCATACTTCCATGTGTTATGTGCACATACTTGTTACAACTGTTAGAGGGTGTGTGATAGTTGTGGATGAGGTCTTGAGTGCTAAACCACCTGTCCAAACTGTGAACACTCCCACGGCTGCACAGCACTGACCTCTGGAATTCGGCCATGAAAGGGACTCAGAGGCCAACATTTCCTTGGGGAGATGACATAAGTACTCCCCAACACTGGCAATTCCACCTGGTTCTTTGTAGAGCAATTGGGGTTCGGTGGGAGGAAGTGGTGTCTGTTTCTGCACCTCCATTTGATGGTTCATATAGAACATGGAGGGGAGTGAAGCTGTCCCCCGAAGGGCCCTGCTCTGCTCCTGTGCACTGGCTTCTGGGGCAGGCTCTGCACTTGATCCCTTCAGTATCAAGTGGCCCACAGATGGGGTCTAGGCAGTATGGAGAACCTGGACTTGGCTGCTTCCCAACAGTCTTGTTGGCTTGGCAAACATGTAGGGCCAGTGAGATGAACACCTGTCATCTAAGAAGCATATGGGTGAGGAAGAGGGAAGAAATACCTGCTTCTTGTGTCTTCCAAATGTTATAGCATCATCTCTCACGCCTGAGGGCCAGAGCCTTTTGCCTCATTATAGAGACCTCACCTGCACCTGGTTGGCACAAGAGGGCACTATCGCAACTAATCCCTTACTACGGTGCTGTTCTCAGAAAATCCATAAGAGGGCGCTATAGCAAACTCTCCCTGCAGGGCAAGAGTTGGGGGCAGAATCAGGATTAGAATCCTGATCCTGATTCCGACTCTGGATTCTGTTTGTTTGCTTGCTTGTTTGCTTGCTTGCTTGTTTGGGGGGATAGAGATACTTTTATCAAACCTTAATCACATTTCAGATACAATTTTAAATTTAATTTTACTTGAATTTCACAAAAGAAAAAGAGAAGTTGATGGAATTGCTGAATCCAAATAAATATTTCCTCTAGACAAGAGATACTTCCCCTAAAATATCCCTTCAAGATTAAGAAAAGGAACTGTGAGAACATTAAAGGTTGAAGTCATTATGATTTTTTCCAAGGACATAATCTCATTTTTGTTTGTACAGACTGACTTCTTGCTGTGAAAGATGAGTTTGTTGGCCCAGGCACACCGGCATGAACACGCTGTTCTGAAAATATTGAAGTCCTTCTGTACCAGTTAGTAAATACCAGCCACTGGACTCTCCCCAGGGATCTCCCTCTCTCCTGGCTGCCCCATCCCACCGCCAGGACCAACCCCAACCCCAACCCCAATCCCAACCCCAATCCCATCTCCCCAAGACCCACAGTTACAGGGGAAAGGGGACTCTAGTCCCAACTCCCAGGCGCCTTCAACAGTGAAGGCACCATTTGAGCCCCAAGCAGTTTAGCCTCCATCTGTTTTACATAATGGCCTCAGGTAAGGCTTTGTTTGCAGAAAGTATTCAGTGTGGAAACTGATTGAACACCCCTGCTCAAGGTCAGCCCTCAGGCCCTGGCAAGTTTGCACAGTCCTGAATTTCCTAGAATGAAGGCCTTTCTCCCTAAAACACTAGCTCCTTATGAAGTCAAGTGCAGGTCTTCATCCTGGTGTGTTTGGATGCAAATGGGCAAAGACTGCCTCTGAGCCGGCTCCCAATGGGATGAGGCAGAAGGTGCTGGAGCCCAGGCTCAGGTAGAGGTGGCAGGAAGGGAGCGGGCTTTGCTTCGTGCCCAGGCCTGTGCCAGGTGCTCACGGACCAGATCGTCTCCAATCTTACAAGAGGTGTTTCTTTCCTTCCTTTTACATATTGTCAATCACTAATAGTTAAGAATTTTTCCATCTGTGTTCATGGGGAATACTGGTCTGTAATTTTCTTTTTTTTTAATGTCTTTGATGAGTTCAGTTTGGTTCGAATAAAATCTGATAAAAAAAAATTTTAACGTGTTTTATTGGTTTTTAGTATGAGATTTAATCTGGCCTTTAAAAAGCTTGAAAGTATTTCCTTCTCCGTATTCTATTACAGAACCATGTAAAAGGAATCATGATTCATTGGCGTCATGCCTGTCTTAAAAGTGTAATTGAACTAGCCATGAACCTGAGCTAGACCTAAACTTTTCTTTGCATAAAATTTTTGCTATTAAAATGAAACAATTATAGTAGTACTCTGTTGAATAAGGTGGTGAAAGTGGACATCCCTGTCTTGTTCCTATTCTTAGGGAAAATTGTTTTCGTTTTTGCCCATTGAGTATGATGTTGGCTGAAAGTTTGTCATATATGGCCTTTATCTTTATTAAGATATGCTCTCTTGCCGAAGCCAGTTTGGCTCAGTGGATAGAGCATCGGCCTGCGGACTGAAGGGTCCCGGGTTCAATTCCGGTCCAGGGCATGTACCTTGGTTGCGGGCATGTCCCCAATAGGGGGTGTGCAAGAGGCAGCTGATCTATGATTCTTCTCTCATCGATGTTTCTAACTCTCTATCCCTCTCTCTTCCTC